CCCCCCCCCCCCCCCCCCCCGGCCGCTTGCGTAGTCCAAGCTCCCGAGCCCCTTGGCCTTCCCCCGCCTTCGGCGACGTCGGTTCTGCAGTGCTCCCTCCGACGACCTCCCCCCCCAAAGAAGCACTGGCCGTCCTCTGGCGGGACGGTTCATCATCGCCCGGGCCGGGCGTTGGCAGGGGCGCCGGAGTTGGGCAGGGAGGGAGTGGGGGGCCAGGAGGAGGGCTACACCACGGGACACTCGATGGCAGCGGTGGAGCGGCGGTATTGCGTCTTGGCGGCGGCGGCGGCGGCGGCGGCGGCGGCGGCGGCGGCGATTCGACAGCGGCGGCGGGTGGCAGAGACTCTTGCGGCGGAAGCGCGGGCGGCGGGATAGTGGTTGTCCTGCGGGAGGATGCTCGGGTTCCCCCCGGTCACGTCGCGGAGGCGGTGCGGGATGGGGGGAGATCGGGGCTGCTGTTAGCGAGGGCCGGGCTGGCTTTGCTACGGCGTATCGCGAGAGTCAGGGTCCTCTCCGTCGCGGAAGGTGCCACCGTGCTGCCGAGGTCAGTTTGGTTAGCAAACAGGAAGGGTCAGATTTGATAGTTTGGGGGGTAACGAGGCGTGACTGAGCGTTTGGCCGCAGCAGGGAGCTTGAGTCCTGCAGCTTGTACTCGTGCATGATGGAGTGCATGCGTGTTTGCTTCGTTTGTGAGCGATACTCGTGTGTTGTTTACGTCACAAATTGTTTTTCTGCTTCCTATCCCCGTCCCCTCCAAGTGCCGTTTCACCTCAAACGTCTCTTGTTCTGGCGCCTTCTGCGTCACAATCTACCGCCCCAGCCTCGTGTTTAGCAGAGTTGTTGCTCCAAATGGCAGAAGGAGTACTGGTTCCAAGGGCGTCACTGCCCGAACCGTCGGCAACCACCCCGCACCAACGTCGGCGCCGGGGTGTGTAGAGGCTGGAGCAGCCTCACACGAGACGCTGCGGCAGATGCTTTCGTACGCGTGGAGAGGAGGGGAAACTGATACTGGGGTTGTTCGCCGCTCGCATGGGGTGCCCAGTGGATGCGCCGGTGGGGCGTTGTCAGCCTCCGGCGGCTTGTTGTCACGGCATGGGGGCGGTGCCGACCTAGGGGACGCTGGTGAGTCCCGGAGAGATATTCAACATCAACAACAGCATCAACAGCAGCAGCAACAGCTGGTACCGACATCGGGATCGGGATTGCGGCAGCTGGCGTCATCATTCGTCCCGCTCGTGCTCGACGAAGGTGCCGTAGTGTCCCTGCCGTCACCTCCGCCTCCGCCACCCATGACAGCGGCGCCAACAGAAAACCCCAACAGAGGCAACAACAACTCCACCGCGTGGCGGTGTGCCCCCGCCGATCTGACGGCCGACTTCGTGGTAGGATTTTCGTCCAAAAACACGCCGTTGGCGGCGGCGGGGTTTCCGCTCCCGACGGAGGCGTCGTCGGCGACGGGGACCGGCCAAGGGGAGAAGGCGGCGGGGGCGTTGCGGTACGTCGTGCTCGCCTGCCAGGAGGACGTAGATCGCGCCGTGGCGGAAGCGCTCGTAGGGCCCGATGTCGCTCCTCCTCCGGGTTGGCACGAGACGACGGCGGTGGGGGAGGGAGGCGGCGGAGTGCTTGGAGGCGTCGAAGAGCAGGTGAATGGGGGGTGGAAAGCGTGTGGCGACGGAAGGCGCGAGGGTGGGTGCTCGTGAGACAGTCGATTCCCGTTTCGGGAATCAAGTAGAGTTGCCGTTCTCATTCTGGATTGCTGTCGGTCTGAGGTTGGTATAGCTCCGCTGCGTTGATGGTGTTTTCGGAGTTGTTGGCGTATCGTGCGAACTGTTTTGGTTTGGTCTCAACACGACGGTATAACACGTGGTGCCTTCCACGGTTGATTCGACCCCCACCTCCTCCCTCCAGTTGTGGCCCTACCTTCTCCTCTGGTGTGCGTCTGTTGCCGATGCAGATGCGGGCAGTATCCAACCTTCTCGCCCCCGTCCTTGTTAGACCAGTGGCCGCCGCCCGCGGCCGACTGGGGGTTTCCGCACCGGCCGGAGGCGTAGTCCTTCACGGAGCTGCGGGGGCGGGAAAGACGGCGCTGGCGCTCGCAACGGCCCGGAGATTGCGGTAAGATTTGGGCGCGCCGCCCACTTGTACGCATGCCGTACACACGGCGGTGTTTTTTGTTACATGCGCCCGGACTTTTCGGGGGGGTTGCCGTTGATCGCATCGGTTGGAGATAGCGGTGGAACGGCGGTGCAGTCGAACACGTCGTGAGTTATGGGTTCATTTGTTTGCTGGTGCACGTATTTGTTGAAGTCGTCGTGGTTAGACAATGGAGCTTCACACGGTGTCGCTGTAAAGACGCGAGGCTATGTCTCTTCGGCAGTGCAACGCACGGGGGCTTCGTGACTGGCGTGGGTATGTCCGCGTCCGTACGAACCTCGCCCCCCCCCTCACCCCCCACCCCACCCAAGACGAGGTATAGGAAACCCTTGTTCGGTCTTACAGGGCAGCACCTGTACTTGCATCGTCATGCCTTTCTCAGACCCAGAGATTTGTTTTTCACCTCCTCCAACACCACGAACAGGCGACAATTCGTCGATTTACGTCGATCGAAAGTTTCACAACTTGACGGATCCGGGCAACGCGATTATATCCGCTCTCCCCACCTCCCGCCCCCACCCCCTCTACCACTCCCTCGTGTGAAACTCGCACCTTGCTGCATCTTTGCAGGGAGTCGTACTTGTCGATGGCGGGCACGGAGGTTGTGTCATGCCGTGACCTGCAGGGGAGGAAGATGGCAGACGTACTGGGGGCTCTGGAAGAGGCCTTTTCTTCGGCGAGGTGTGTTGTGACGAGGGGGCTAGCGCTTGCGCTGGGTGGCGACATGTGTTGCATTGAGAGGATTATGTGCTTGTGTAGGGCGGCGAGGTGTGCCGTACCGAAGAGGTATTGTGCTTGCGTTGGGCGGCGAGATCTGTTGTATTGAGAGGACTTGTGCTTGTGTTGGCGAGGTGTGTTGTAACGATAGGGCAGTGCTTGTATTGGGCGGCGACGCGAGTTGCAGTGAGAGGGCTTGTACCTGTGTTGGTCGGCGAGGTGTGTTGTGGTGGGACGGGCTAGTACCTATGTTGGACGTGCCTGCTTGGTTGCGTTTTGGCGGGTGCGGACGTGCTTGTCGACGTGTGCTTAATCAGTAGAAGAGTTTGGCGAATGTGACCATGCTGCTACTCTAGATGATACGTTGGGGCGGGTGCGCGCGGGGGAGCCTCTGTCGTGCAGAAGAGGTCCCGTTGATCGCGCGTGTCATGGTGTGGGACAAAGACAAGGATGAGGGTGAGTTACACTATTTGTACTGCCGTGTTGCACTCTTTGCCCTACAGCTTGCTGTGCTTTACGGAGTACGTTGGCGGTTCACCCCCCCCCCCCCCCCCCCCCCCCCCCCCCCCCCCCCCCCCCCCCCCCCC